CATTAGGCAATCAAATGTTCCTCCCCCTTTACACGCTCAGTTACGTCGAAATCCAGCCCCTTGTATAGATCACACCCTTTTAAGCCTTCTTTCACCATCATAAGATCGGTGAATTTCCTGTTTTACAAGATGAAACTTAACACTGAACTTGCACGGGATGGTCCTAACGCCATCTGTGATCCAGTGTGTATAAAAAAGCTGCTGAGTGTTACATTATCTTCATTATTTCACATCATAGTAAGTCTCCAAAAAACTGTGTGCGCTTTGAGAATTACATTGCCTCGGCGGGTGGTTTAATCATTTGAGTCATTTCTGCAACCCTCGTGATTCCCACAAGCTGCTTTGCCTCTATTTTTGTAAACGTTCGCCACTGAATTATTATTTATTCATGTATTACTATTTTACTCTGGGACTAAGGGTGACTTGAACCAGATTTTTTTTCACAAAGAAAAAAAAATCTTCCTTTCTTTGGATAAATACTTGCCTATTAATCAGCCCTGCATTTGGTTTTTGAAAATTGAGAGTTTTCTTCCAGTTAGCCCCCCAACCCCCTGGCTTCCCTTTGCTGGTCTGAACTAAAATATTTCAGAATGAGCATTAACGGTGATCAGTTCTAAGACAGCAGAACGAGCCAGGGTTTAGCCAGGTTTAAGACTGATGAAATAAATAGTTACCCCTCCCTTCCAGGTATCTTACGTACGATATCAACCTAAGGCTAATTGGTTCTTATATCACAGAAAGGCAGGGGAATTTGCCAGGCATTTTAACTAGCGCTGCATAAACTATTTTGACAGAAAAGCTAAGGCTGGACAGAACAGATGCCAAGAAAGTTGAGAAGGTTGGGGAGTGGGAAAGAAATAATGGAAACCTCAGCTTAGCCCACAAGATGTGCAAAAGTGTTATTTATAACTCATCCATTCATCAGAAAGCCACTGTTTCCAAAATATTGTAGTCCACCATTTATAACATTTCCTTTCGGCATCCAAGCCTGTATTAACTTCACAGCTAAGATAATCTGCGGCAAACCCAGATGAACGGGAAGCGAAAGGGGGGCCTAATTAGGATGCGACAGAGTTTTATAAGGACGTTGTCGCTCAAGTTACAAACTCCGTGCTGCCCAAATAAAGTATCGATCCTTCCAGAGATCTAGGTGGGGATAACCCTTGATAGGACACAGACACCTGCTTTGAACTGGCAACACAAAAGTTTGGATGTAGGATTTTTGGCTTGCAAAGGATGCGCCCTTCACCCAACAATACTCTCAGGAGGACAAGCAGATTCCAAAAAGCAATATAATGGACATTTTTCTCCTTTCCACTACAGTGCACTATTCAAATAGAATTACCGCTCAAGAAAAGAGAGAGAGACTTGCATTTTGCGGAGCAGACACTGAAAACGACATCACAATACAAGAGAAGGAAAGCCGTACCACCAAACCTTTGAGAGCATTTTTATTCAGGGTAGCAGGATGGCGTTGCGAGAAAGCCTAGACCATTACAGGAAAGGGTGGTGTAGACTTGGGGGACCTCAAAACTACAAGGTCAGAACGGCTTCAGCTGGGGAACGGGACAGAACCAAAAACGACAGAGCGAAAAAGGAGGATGGAATGACATCACATGGTTGAATTATGATGTATTAAGTGGCCTTCAAGCTGCACTGCTTGTGATGCCCCCTGAACAACCCACAGGCCTTGGGATTGGCAAGCCCATCTCCTTCACCAGCAACTCTTACTGGGCACAGAAGCAAACGCTTGAGCCAACACAGGGCTTCAAATCCAGGACAATTCATTCCTGCGTACAAACGACAGGAACAGACAGCGAGGCCTGTTAGCACTGGGACAGAGGTGCAGGGAAGAATCACCAAACAGCTGGAAAATTGGTTTGGGCGAAGGGTCACATTTGCTCTCTAAGTTGCAGAAATCACCTCTCAGGTCCATCAAAACAGGCACCCGCTATTGGTTTCATGGTCAAAGTTCTTAACAACTTCCCTTGCTTCTGTGCAGTCCATACCACTCTGCCTTTTGCACCTTATTGAAAATCCTACGTCCTGAGGCTTGATGGTTATTTGGGGGTGGGTGGGTGGATCTTCCCGTGGGAAAAAATGGAAGGGAAATGGGGCATCTCACAGAAGGAGGTGGCCTGGGATATTTTAAGATGTTCTTCGACAGAAGCAAGCCTATTTTAGTTGCAGAGATAGCCACTAAACAAATGCAATCGCAAGATCGCCAGTTTGTAGAAGACAGTGGTGGTTATCTCTGGAGATCTGGGGACGGGTTACACGATTTGCACAAATGCAACTGACATTTGTGGGTTTGAATGCATGGGTCTGACCCTCAGAGGAAACGCCAGTGGACCGTTACCTTCCAAATTAACCAAGATGAGAAGGGGATTCTGAATGCCAGTCCCTTAAATTATCCAAATTCTTCAATTCTCTGCTCAGAAAGCACCAGTTTACAAGTTTGCAATTTGACCTGAGATGTTTACAATTTAAAAGCGAGAGAGATATATTGACATTTTTTTCTCACTATCAAAGTAAAAAAGAGTACAGAGCTGTGTATGGAACAAGAACAGCTAAAAAAAAGAAAGACAATTGCTCATTTCAATGTGATGCAATGCAGGATTTTACATACACTTCAGTTTGACAGGTAAAATTTGGCATTTTTTGTTTATTTTGAATCTGCGTGAGCGTGAATGAAACAAAGTCAGTACCAACTTTCTGCAAATGAAGACACAAAAATTGTGGAGATTTTGGTAATAGACAGTGCTGGTCACCAAGCCTACACACACACTTAAGGAAATGCAAGTGTCCATTAAGTTAGTTTTTTTTTTAAACTTTAATTGCCTACCAAAGAATTTGTCTAAGAACACTTAAAACAGAGATGTTTCATACCCCAACTGATAAGGAAAAAATCTGGGGTTCTTCTACTTTTCAACAGAGATACTTGGCTGTCAATCTTGTATAGTTTAAAATCAAAAGCTGGAGTAGAGAAGGAAGATGAAAAGGTGTACACAAAATATTAGAATGCTATTCCACTGCTCCCCAACATACATTAGTCCTGAAATATGGCAAACAATAATTCCAGATTCCTTAAAAATAACCCACTGGAATGCTGTTTATGAAGGCAAATCCATGCAAAACAGAATGATACGCACTTTTTGTTCTTCACTGCAGTTTCACAGAAATGGGTGGAAATGCTTGCTTAAAGCCAGGCATTTAAAACTGAGCAGCCAGGGAGTCAACTGTGTCACGTAACCAAGTTGCTTTTTGCCCCCCTTAAACGATACCCTAAACTTAAAAGGTAACAACACTACATCGAAAGGGTATTCAGTTCTACCTGGAAAGAACTTCACCCCTAACTCGAGCAGGGATATCTGGGTTTAAAAAACGCCACTGAATCAACATGTCTAATTCCGAAATGCCACATTTCATGTACAGATATTTTATGAAGAACAGCAACTGCTCACTTTCACGATTGGCCAGGTATTGCTTAATGGAAATTTCTTACATTGTGGACAACAATCAAACCAATCCATTATCAGGAGAAAATAAGCTTGTCCTTGCACAGGAAAGAGGTTAAGATGAAGCGTCTATGACTAGGTATTTGTTTTTCAGAACTAAGATTTCAAGAAGGATTTCTCCAGTGAGTCTCTCAGCTAGGAAGATATACAGGATGGGGAGCTGAGCTTGGTTGGTTGATCCTGTTTTGGTACCTCTTGGTCCCCAATTTGAAATTCTCCCAAATAGACTTGCAATGCTATTTGGAGTAATTCTTTATTCTAGGTAGTCTGCATAGATACTAAAGAATAAAAGGGAAGAGTAAAACAAGAACACGAAAGGGGAGGGGGGAATCACATTCCACTATTCCTTTGCTAAAGAACAACCTAAGTCAAAATTTCCCCCACAAACAGAACATAAGCCACACTGTAATTCATTCATGCACACAAACCTTGGAGTTCCCCATTTAATAAACATTATTGAAGCCGCATCAGCCAGATTTACAAAAGATCTGGGGCTGATTCTGATTGTTTCTGATGTACATATGGCAGATTGGTTATGTTACAAACTGAAGTTCAGAGAAATCTGGGACCGATGTCCACGAAACACAGGGCAACGTTTAAGAGAGGGAAAAAGGGAAGCAAACCGCCCAAAGTTTTTTCAACTTTCTTTCTCTGTTTTCTTTCGTTTTTGCTAAGACATAAGTAGGGGCGGTTTTCGTTTTCTTTTCTTTTGGGGGGAAGGGAGGAGGAAAAGACAGGGGGCAAGGAAAAAAATGGGGGGAAAATGAGAATTGCCAAGGAAAATAAGAAATAACAGCCACGGCCTTTTGAACTTTTAAGGGCAAGTTATAAGTCTAAGGTTTTGTTTTGTTTTGGATAAATTGTGACAAGGAGGAAAAAAAGAAAAAAAAGAAACAGCATTCTTTAAAGTACATTAAAGCAGTGATTTTAAACAAAGAAAGCAGAACTAGAACATCTTAAATTTTTAATCCTTTCTTTACAGATTACCTAGACCACTTTTGATTAAGAAACGGTAGAAAGTTAGTAACAGCCACAAGTTAACACCAAGAGGTGGCACTTGTCAATTTTCCATAGAGAGTCCTGCTTTGTGGGTGTGTCTGAAATGCACTGCTTCAGCTCTTCTATCACACGTTGCTGACATCAACTCGGTCAGGTTTTGCTTTGTTGTGTTCTGTGTTGTGTTTTTAGTCCACTGGTCGCTTTTCGCCATATTTCTTTGTAAACTCTTCAGCATTCTTACAGAATTTTTTACGGTCCTTAGAGTATTCTTCGGCTAGGTCGGCCCGAAGGGGGTGCTCGGGTTGGGGGTCGTTCACCAGTGCTATGAGGGACTGGATTACTGTCGAAAGAAAGAAAAAAGAGGAGAGGAAGGAAGGGAGAAAGAAAGGGAGGGAGGGAAGGAGAGAGGGAGAGAGAGAGAGAGAGAGATCAGTGTGGCTGTGAAAGAGAGGAAGAACTATCGGTTTGCCCATGACAGATCCCAAGGCTGCAGATGGCACTCAAATCTTTGGGAACGGTCCTCAAGTCCTCCATATTATATTTATTAATGAAAGAGAAGTGGGAAAGTGTTCAATGCATGTATTAAACACACGAAGGAAGACTAATCCTGTAAGCCATGTTTAATCGGAATGGAGCGCAAATGGAAATGTTGGCCCTAATTGCTACTTTTTAGGATCTGGACCCTCAACTTTCCCCTTGAAGGCCGAGTATGGCCTTCAAGCCAAGCCTTCGCCATGGTTGACTAAATAAACCACAATTGGCTGGGTTTTCAGAACGGGCTAAAGCAAAACGGGACGGCTACGTTATATCTGCAACCATGATATGTGACAAGAGGAATAATATTCAGTGGTTGATTTAATTAACCGTGTCAGCCGCCATAACGGCAGCATATTGGGATTTAGGAATGGAGGAGCCCATCTGCATGTGCAAAATCGTGCGTGTGTAAAGCTTTTCCTTGCTGAAACTAATAGAGAAACCCTTATGAGTCCACACTCAAGTACACATTCAAACAAATAGTGCTGGAGGAGGAACATCAAGTTTGGTTTGGGCTATCGGAATAAATCATTTAAGAATTGGCTGAAAGGATACTGAAATACCTTACAGCCACCTAGCTGGGGCTTATTCAAGAGATATGATGAATAAGATAGAGTACACTCTTTGCTTGTTTGTGTATTGGACAACTCATTTTCAGATTCATCTGCCTGCAAATGTGTCATTCCTATCCTTTGCAATAAATTCAAATTGTAAACTAAGGTATCAGCCAAACCACTTTAGACCAATCTTGGCGTATTTGGCACTGCAGGCCTTGGCTGATCTTTCCAGAAAAACAATGTACAGTATAGCCTTTAATGGAGCAGGAGTGAATTGGAGTCAATGGGCCTCACTTGAATCCCTTACTGACATCTCACAGCAAAAGTAGAACAGTGGTATCGTTTTCTGCCTCCATTACAAGGGGGTCTTCCTCCCCCACACTGGGAAATTTGGCATTAAACACAACACCTCTAAGAATAATTAAAGCCTCAAGCAGAAGGGCACAACATTTTTCAAAACGATGTCTCCCAAATGAAGTGGGCTGTAACAAGCCGGGAATGGCAGACAATTACATCTGGAAGGCATGGAATCAGAACTCAGAGCAACTGATTTTTATACTTCTAACTCTAAAGGAGTCAGCGTTCTAAAGAATTGCATTTGGTAGACATAGGAGGCCAAATAAAATGATGTGATCAAAACAGTTATTCCAAACAAAAATTATTAGCAATCATGCTGTCCACTGTGAACTTTCTGTCCCCCCCCACCCCCCAAATAATGTTTTCCTCAAGCAATCACTTCTTAAACATTTTTTTTGTTCAAGACGTCATGCAGAACAGGCTGAAAACAGACCTTTGGCCATTTACAAATGTATTTAAATATAATCCACTAAAAGGCAAATAACTGAAGCTGTCGCATACTTTTCTAAACATACCTCCAGCTTTCCAGGTTTATCTGAATTGTTTGTTCTGTGCTAGTTTTGCACTGAAAAGTGGAGGGGGGAGGGAGGAATGAGAAAAGTCAGAATTCATTCGCCCCAAAGCGACCGCATTAAAGGCTTCAATAGCCCAGCGTGCTTGGGCTGTGAGATCCAGCACAGATAAATAACCCTTCAAAAAGTTACATTTATGTAGAAATCAGTAGCCAAAATTGATGGAGGTGTCTCACCTTGATCAGTTTTGGTGGCGGGCTTCCAGTTTTCAGCACTAATTACTGGCAGACAAACCTGCCCCTTTTCATCGATGTTAGGGTGATAGATCTTTGTTTTAAATGTAATCTTCGGAGGTTTGAATGGGTACTCTGCGGGAAAGTTGATTTCGATTCTGAACGCACCCTTGTCATATGGAGGATTGTCCTACAGGGAGCAAGAGAGAAGGTATGAAGAGTAGTCCAAGATGGCGAGAGACCAAATTCAGAGGAAAAATGTAGGGCAAGGGTGAGGAGATGTCATTCCCATAGAAGTGAATCTCTGTAGCTCAGGGTTGAACTGTGGAGTCCTTAGTGCTCTCTGAGCTTGGTGGTTGGCTTGCAGACATCTCATTACCCAACTAGGTAACATCATCAGGGTGAGGGAACACCAGTGCTAGGTAACAGATAAGGGAACATCATCATTGCACTGATGATATTACCTAGTCGGGTAATGAAATGTCTGCAAGCAAACCACCAAGCTCAGAGAGCACCAAGGACTCCACAGAAGAGATGTCAGGCATACAAGATCCACCATTTAAAAATAAAATTCTTAAGGATTCTTGCAATATCTTAGAAGAAGTGGTCTAACATTGAGAATGAAGGACACAGGAGACCTCTGATTGTGTTTTACTATTAGCGATTTGTTTTACTATTAGATCTAAATCCAGTCTTTTCAAAATCATCCTCATCACCCCACTTTTTAATTCTCCCTTCTCTGCTTTTTCATTTTTAGCAATGTGACTAAGTTTGTTATTTTAAAAAAAGATTTGATTTTTTAAACGTATATATTGCAATCTTTATCAGCAGGACCCAGTTTGTTCTATGCAATCTCCTGAAAAATGGGAATGTGGGTTTCTCAACTGAATATTCTGTTTTTGGTTTTTACTGTTTCTCTTGTTTTTACTGCTGTATATGTTGTTTTAGTCATGGGTTGTAAGGTGCCCAGAGTTTGGCTTTAAGATGGGTGGCTGCACAAATATTTTAAATAAAATAAAATAAAAAAATATTGCCTATGCTAACTTTCTCCATAAAGGAGTTTTTACACAGATACAGATTCAATTTACAGAATTGTTTACAGAAGACAGAGTGATTAGGAATTTACTGTTAAAAGCCTGCAGGAAGGATTACCTTGCAAAACTAGTATCTGAATAAGACATTTGAACAACTATTATTCTTAAAGCAGTAACTTGTTTAAAAAAAAGCCACCCATAACCCTGCAACAGAATTGCAAGATACAACTTGACAAAATGCCTTTTTAAAAGCACCTCTATTCAAAGATATATTTAGTGTGTGAATGGAGAATACTCACTCCCCCATTCCAGGAGAGTAACACATATAGATTTGTTTAGAGAGGAAAGAGCCTGAGGGAGCAGAGGAAAATATGTGTGTTTGTGTGAAAGAAAGGTAGGAAATATTTTTATCCTTCAGAATAAATTAAATTATTCACTCAACGTGGGCCAGGTGCAACTTTTTATCCAAGGTAACCCCACATTCTGAAGTATGTTAATTTTTGTTTTTTGCTAATTCAAAGTTTTAGGGCTATTTTTGATTTATATCCTGCCTTTCCTGTGGGACCTCTTACTTAGTATTCCAATTTTTCCCCACAACAGCATCCCTGTGTGGTAGACTGGGCACAAGGAGAGAGACCGGCCCCAAGCCAGCCAGGGAGCTTCTGTAGCTCAGGGTGGATATGAACCTCACTCTAGCCCCGTGTTGCTCAACCTTGGCAACTTTAATATGTGTGGACTTCAACTCCCAGAATTCTGGGAGCTGGCTGGGGGAATTTTGGGACTTGAAGTCCACGCATCTTAAAGTTGCCAAGGTTGAGAAACACTGCTCTAGACAGTCCTAATCTGTCAGCCCCACTACTTAGACCAGGCCAGGAAATCAACTCCACAGGAAGGCTAAAACTACTTTTACTGAGATTGGGTATAATAACCGAATCTTGCAAGTCAGATTGTGTTGGACCTTCTCATTCCCCTTCTTACAGTTCAGTGAATTAGGGAGATGTCATTCTAAGCCGCTTCCGAATGTTATCTGGACGTTCTGGACTTAACAAATGCTTCATCTCCTTTTGCCTAGATAGCAATTCCTGAATATCTCCTTCATCTTTTTACACTCTACAAAATTCAACACCTTAACCATTCTGGTTTCAAGTTTTTCCTACTTACTGCTCAGAAGTTAGAACTGAAGATTTAGGAGTAAGAGGGTGAAGATTTGGGTGTATTAAATTTTTTCCTTAGATGACACCAAGACTGCAGTGGTGTGTCCCACCAAGCATGTCCCAACCTGGAGCACCCTCAAGTGCCTTTGAGTTCAACTTGCATGGCAAAGATCAAAAGTCTGAGCCACTCATGGGTTGTCCCTTGGTTCAAAACCAGAAAGGTGAACAGCACACATCTGTATGCTATCATGTGTGACTTACATTATGAGTGCTACTCCACTCTATGTTCTAGGTATCTCTTGATACATATCTTGTGGTCCCTCTGACCTCACAACTTTGATTTATTCTTGGCTCACTTTGGCAAAATCATTCCCTTCATCAGAAAAAAATCAAAGCCTTTATAAAATCAAGACTAACTCTACGGGACTCAAATGGGCCAGAGCTGAAGGTTCCATTTTCCCCACTAGTTAACAGCTTGAAACCTTACTCGCTTCTTTTGAATTTACTTGGTGTTTGTTTTCATAACACTGGAATTTGATCAGTAAACTTGCGTGGAAGAGCCAAGAAAAGAAGAAACAGACCATCAACTCCATGGCAACAGTGACTGCTGGTTCTCAAAAGAGAGACAAAGCTTCAGATAATTAAGAATGGGTTTAACATTTATGCAGGACACCTCTTTAGGCCTGCACATTAATTGTCCAGCCCCCGAAGGAGCCATGTAGCCAGTCTTTGTGTTCAAGGGGCCTTTAGAACAGCGGCTCTCTGGGCTACGAAGGAGATCACTTTTGAAACCAAAAATTACAAGAGCATTTTCTGGGCTGCTGCAAGGGTGGAGCAGTAAAGGGAACACTTGAAAAGGTTATGCATGAAACAAAAAGTGTGTGCGTAGGCATCAGGTACAAGCCACGATAACATCATATCAACATGGGAGGTTGATGCGTGGGACGGTGTTGCCCCAGGGCGCCATGAGTTTTTATGGTGATTGTTCGGGTTTTTTACTGTTTTTATGGTCATGTGAGCTGCTCAGAGTTGTGGCGATAATATGGGTGGCTATGTAAGTATGATAGATAGATAAATAAATAAATCCACCATGACATGGTGCAAACGATATAATTTGTGCAATGACCTCAGGATGCATACCACATCATTCCCCTACCCCTCCTGGAGGCTCATGTGTTGCAGGGACGCGTTTTTAGAATATTCAGTAATTTCCTTGTAGGATACGGTTCTGTCAGCAAAGAGGTAAAATTGTATTCTGCGTGAGTCATTTTTATAGATAGGGAAGAACTGGACTGGCCCTTTACCCCTTGGCGGGAAAGGCCATCCGAGCGGGGCAGCTACCTGAACCATATCCCCATCTCTTCGGCTGAAGTAAACATCTGCAGAATTACAGATACTGCATTGTAACTGACTGTGTTTAGGGGTTTGCGGAACGGGAGTATCCCAGCCTTTCCTCTTCCCTGTATAAGACTGTAAGCTTATTTTGGGATTCTGTAGGGCTGAGGATTATAAACAGGCTCCACCCTGTTTCGGTCAGAGGTTATCTGGAGCAGTGGTTAAGTGGGTGCTCCGGTTTAGTGGGGATAGGTCAATAAAGGGATGGATAACCACCACGGAAAATTTTGCCTCCTGGCTGGCCATGGTCGTGAGCAGAATGCTAGCTGTGCGAGCCTTTCCCAAACCAGGTGCTCTCAAATGTGCTGAACTACACCTCCCATCCTCCTTCAGGCTGGTGCCAGTTGCGGTGGTGGGAGCTGGTGAGAATTAGGAATCTAACAATACCTGAATGTTTAATGTCTAAATGTTCAGCATGGCAAAATAAGCCAGAGGCATATCTGCAAATATACAATCGTTTCCAATTTGCATGATTTTAGTCATAAAATAATTTAAAAACATCAACTCTAACTAAAGATCACAAAAATCATCTTTAATGTCTCAAGTTACTCATTTCTCTTTAACAGGGTTAATCTTCCTTTATACCACAACTTATCTGCTGGAATGGCACCTCACATCGAAAAATGGTTTGTCGAATAAGACCCACTAACTGGGGGGTCAGAAAGCATGCTAAGCAAAAACCAAACAAACCATGATACATGGCTTAGTGGGACAGGTAAAACAAGGCTGATATCTGTATACAGTATATCCATCCCATTCTTAATCTATTTTATGCATGATTAAAGATGCTCTTTCAAAGACTAAGGTTAGCTCCTACAAATAAATTGTATAAATATTGGATATCTTTTCCAACTGCTCTATTTTTATAGTTCAGCTAAAACTTTTCCATCTGGGTTCAGGTCAATTACGCAGGAACTAATTATGAACTCAAATTATGCTTCCAATAATCTCTTCTGCTCCATCGCCCCTCCCAGGGTATCTGACAATGTTCTGGGAGCTAGGGAAAGCTATTGGTTTTGAAGTCAGTCATGCTGCTAAAAATCACAATTATCTCTCAATATTTATGAGACAGAGGGTGTGGGGAACGGGTATAAATCAAATTCTGTGACAGAAAATGAAATCTAAATTTCTTGAGATAAATTCTACCTTTCCCACAACTATATATTACATAGAACGTTGGGGTTCTCAGAGAGTGCGAGAAATAAACCCACATCACAGACTCCTTAGTTACTCTAAGACCCATTTTGGAGTTTTTAAGAATTGTGGCCTGATTTTCCTTTCTTTTTTCCTTCACAAGCCCTTTTTTTGGTCACGTCGGTTAGCTATGGAGACTTGTCTTTTTTCCTTTTTATTTTTCAACCACTGCACAATATTTAGAAAAGTTTAGGAGCTTTATAAGTAAATACTTATTTTTATGTAAAGATGGATGGCAGTTAATTTCATTACTTTGGTTGCATATCCTCTGCAAACAGCACAGAAATATTCTTCCTTAACTCTAGAACATCCACTGATTCGCCCAACCAGTTCTGCAAGGACCAGCCTAACTGTTTCAAGGTACTTAAGAAAATTCAGAATTCATCACCACAAACGACCTATGTTGCCTTTTTGCAATTACAAGAGGTTTCTTTCAGACTCACAGGAACAATAAGCCCTTGCCAAGTCAATAAGTTAGCTTCATCAACTTGGATATTACGGAAGTTCTTCATTCCACATTTGCGGATTTCTTCAAGCTCCTACAAGCCAAGCAGAGCAGAAAAAAGCATATTAACCAGAGCAGCCAAAACAATGGGTTGTTATAATTCAGGAAAACAAGCACGTTGTTTTTACTTTCATATTGTCTCAGTCAACTGTGACACAACAGGAATGACACCAAGGATGAATGCTCTTCCCTCACCCTTTCGTTTCTTCCTCTCGTCATGCTACAGTTTCAGCACAAGGAGGTGTGGGGGGGGGGGCAGCCAGAATTGGGAAGAGTCTGGAAAAGGCAGAATTCCTCTGTCTGACTTTCACCAAGAATTCAGATTTCACCCCAGCCAGAATTCTGGCACAATGTTGGTGTACGAAGGGTGGAAGAGGAGGAAGCTTAGCTCTATACTTGTTCCTATTTTATAATCTATGTTTTACAAAGCCTAGAATTATCACTTGATACAGGCCATTAAATGCTGTGGATTGAAAAGTGAGTGAATTGTTAAACACGTACTCTTTTTCATGAATTGTATTTCAGAAGCAGAGATTAAATTTTTCTTTAGGAGACCATAACTTACCGCATTCAAATACATGTTGTTACTTCTCTCAACTAATGTATGGACGTGTGTGTGCGTATGTGTATATGTGTGTGTGGCTTACACACTTTGAAGAGCAATTAATTTTGGTAGGAGACGGAAATTTGAAGACCCTTTGCCGAATGATACTGGGTGGCACTTCAGACAGAATGCTGGACCTCAACCAGTGTGAGGAATGCTGAGAGGTATAGTTCATCCACCCCTGACGGGTTGCACATTCTCCACCCGTGCTTTATATTTATGACAGATAAGGTCAGTGTGGCAATTTTTGAAGTTTGAACCCCTGCAGACATGGGAAACCTGGTCAGCCAGGAGGTGCAAGTAACTTGCATCCAATGCTGTGAAGGAATGGTTGGATGAAGGCCATGCTCGGGGAGATAATCATTCCCATGCTCCTGTTGAAGGCTAAGGGAATGCTTATCTCCCCGAGCGCAGCCTTCATCCAACCATTCCTTCACAAATGCAGAGGCCAAATTTTGCCAAGTCACATACTTAACATGATCACAGAAGGAAATCGGGGGTACTCAAGAAATGTCTTTTTCAAAAAACCAAAAAAGCTACTAACAATAAAAACTGCAACCAAATAATAGTGACCCTCCACACGAGCAGCAGACTTCAGCCCTCCTCCCTGGAAGGAGGAATGTTGCACAATTTCATATATCTGATCTCTCAAAAAATCCACACAGGTATCCCCCAAATTAAAAAAAAATATATAGACAACCCCACTGCCCAGGAACTCAGCTATCAGCTTCTCAGCTTCCCTCCTTGCTTGCAGAAGGGTATTTACGCATATGGTGAGACCTGAAGGCATTGCAGAGTTATAATGGGATAAAATTAGAAATATAGAACCACCTTTCAGAGGACAGTGGCATGTAGGATAAGAACCATGTATTTGCGTCCCTGATAACTTGCTTGCCTTGAGTCCAGTTGGAAATTCAAAATAAAAAGATGACATGATATATTGGGTCACCTACAAGCCTTCCCCACCCCTTTCTTTCTGTTAATCAGTGTGTGTGAAAGGAGGTTATGTTTTGCGCGTAGGCTTTAGCATGCTTGCATCAATTCAGTTTTCCTCTTAAAATAGCTCTTTCTCTTAAAAAAAAAAAGAACACTCCCTATAATAACTTTTATTTTTAAAAACCTTCCATTTTTAACTACACGGTTACTACATTCAGGGCAGCGATAGGTTTTATTCAGGGCATCCTGGTTCACAGCTCCCTTTGTTACCCTCCCTGCTACAACAGGCTCCGTGCAGGTGACAGGAGTCTTCTTTAAAATGGGCTGCTTCTGAACTCTTTGCATCCAACAAGCTAAAGAGTCAGAGTCAGTTTTATATTCATTACATTATTTTATTAGCCTTAAACAAGGCAACTGATTTAGAAGAATTCTGAAGATGGGTATTTTCTTAGACTGAAGAAGGTAGTCACCTAATAGAATCCTTGCAAAGTGCAATCAGCAATTCAGAAGCTTCACTGTCCCATGCAAGATCATATTATACATTTTCCACAGTACGGGGCACTGCAGCCAGAAATGAGCATAGCAGTACCATTCCATTCAATTCCAGCCAACATAAGCAAGCAAACTTAGCCATAACGGCAAATGAAACGAGAAATTCTAAACCGAAAAAAAAATAACAGAAATATAGCTATACCCTTATCTAGGGAAAAACTCTTAGAGACCCATCAAACAAGCATATGGCAGTCCTCATATCCTCAGAAAAAGGAGAAGGGAGACCCAAGAGTTGAGGAAGAGCGCCTTTCTAACTCCAAGGGACTGCTATTTCAAAACAAGAGCACCACTCCTTTCTCAATATTGATATAGTTTAGTAATGGCTCAATAAAATAACTAAAGCTTGAAAAGGAAATGTCAAGGGTATCATAAGAAGATACGGTTGTTGATTGTTAAGTTACAAAGATAGCTATTTTACCTATGACACACATTCAAACAGACGTAGGGCCATGATGGCACGCACGTGGACCAACAAGACTGGTTGCAAAACGTTGATTTCCACCAGTATGTATTACATCTTTGTTCACTTGCAGCAAGTAACTAAAGATAAAGTGCAGATGGTCCCCAGGTTAAGAACAGCTAGTTTACGGATGACCCGTAGTTAAGAATGGAGCCCATTATAGCAAAATTTGAGTTAAATACACAATGATTTGAGTTCATTACACAATACTACTGTATTATACAATAATACTGTTCTGGCTTACATACAAATTTGACTTAAGGACAGACCTTGGGAACAGAACTTGTTCTTAAACTGGGGACTACCTGTAACTCTAAGGGAGTACATACAAGACCAAAGGTAGGATGAGAAGAGTGCAGTATGGTCAACACTTGAATTGCCAACCAGTAATGCATTTTAGTGTAACAGAAGCATAAACAAAAGGCATGCTGTCAAATTTAGAAGAACCATCACTTGTTTCATTGTAGTGAATCTTTCCAAGATAGACTGTCCAATTGGCAGTCCTAACCAAGCCCTTCAAAGAGGTCTTCAGGTCAAGAGAAGACAATTACAATCATTTGAAGTAATCATGGCCTTAATGACTCCCTTAGGATCCTTCAAGGCAGTCAATAACTTCATCATATCTTATAGAAAGGACTGGATTAAGGCTAGCTTAGTGTAAAAGAATTGGCCTTGCAGTAGAAAAGAATGCAGACATCTACAGCAGCCTGTCCCATACAAAATAACAGCACGAGGTGACAAGAAGTATAAATTTTTTAAAATCTGCCATCCTTTCAGTTAAGAGGTAAAGGATGCGGAAACCATAGCACTGACTACTGCCAATAAAAAATGATTTTGGAAAGGGCGTGACATTTAACTGTCAAGCCACATCCTTTGGCATATAAGAGAGTGTTGGAGAACTCGAAGTGGCATGTGGAATGCAGCTCCCTTGATGGAAAGAAGGGAGACACTGGGTGGATACGCAGATTCAGAAGTTGGGAATCAATTAGGAGTAGTGTTAGTGAAAGGTTTTGGCAGGAAGACATTTAAATGGCACTGGGACTGAACATCAAACCTGTTCTTTTTCTCCCTTATCAAAACCATTTTTTTTTTTTTAAAGGAACACACTCTGCTGACTACAGAATTTCAGCCTCTAAGCCATTTTTGTTTAACTTAATTTTGACTCTCAGACTCCTAACAGTGGCAGGCTAGTTTTTCCCTTTTTCTGAGGTGTAATTATATTTATAATGCATCCTCCATAGTTGGTGGTTTAAAACTCAATGACACGTTTATCTCTGCTTTTGAACTGCTTTTATAGAATCCCACATCGCTTTTTCTCACTGATACAATTCCAGTGTGGGGCACCAAGTTCTTTCAAAACGTTCCTGTGGAAAATGCATCATAAACCAGAGAGAGGCAGTTAGTGAACAGTGGGTAAACATTAGAGCTTGATTTCATAAATTGAATCTTCAGGAGGAATTCCAGAGTTTTTATTGCAAGACAATCAACACTCTAGTATTACCAATAATATTTGGGGAGGGGGAAGAGGGATCAGTATGTAGCATTGCACTCTTCGTTGTGAAAACCATTTAATTTCTACTGTTTATACTGACCGCGCACCTTCTGTTTAACATTCCCTATAATTTCCTCTTCAGGAAACTATTACTGCAATATCCCCAAATACACACTTTTCAATCAACTTAGCATATGATTCAAAGACAGTCAAATATTGATGGGACTATTCAAAATAATCTGGTGGCAGTGGCTATGCTATGCATTGCATGTGTGCAAAGAATTGATTTGGGGATTGTACGTAGGATGCAAAGACAGTAAAATGGAACTTTTGAACTGAATTTCCATATTTCATTGCAAATCACATTGACAATTCAGTGGGCTTCTAAGCTGGAACGACTCTTTTTTCCAAATCAAACTGACAATTTGAATAAATTCGATTCAATTCTCCAAATCTCCATCTGAATAGAATCAATTTTCCAAATCAACGTGATGATTCAAATCAGATCAGACCTTCTTCATCAGGTGCATAGCAACATGCAAGTGTTTCAATGTGAAACATATATAAACAAACTCACTTTGTATAAATCTGAGTATTAATTTATCCTACTTGTAAAATTAAAAAAGAGCACAGCAGTTATTATTTGGGCCAGGCTAAAAGCAAGCTGCATGTAAAATGGCCGAAGAAAGGGGCACGCATGTGCTGGATACTTCCATTTAAACTGGTTTAATTAAACTTAAGTCAGATTTTAGTGCAAGATTTTGAAAGCTCTCTCTACATATTAGTGCAAAATATTTAAGACTGCATTTGTTTTGAATTAATAAAGTCAGGTCTGCAACTGCCAATAAAATGTTAGTTAAAATAATACACTCAAATCAGTCTATGCTGTTTTAAGCTTGGGTCAAGAACATCATCATCATGAACTGAAATTATTTGGTGAAACCATGAAGATTTGGTTGGAGCAGGATGTACTCAAAAAATACATACGGTACACGGATGTAAGCTAACAAGAACGTAA